GTTTTTCCTATTTGATTAAGTACAAATTCTATTGGATATCCATTTTCCATTGCAAGTAATCTAATAAATTTGAATTCATGATGTAATAGTACATACGTGGAGCAAATTCTTATTGCTCGATATGCCATTGAACTAATTGCAGATATTTTATATGACATTGGTACATATGACGTCCATTTTAAAAGTAAACCAGTAAATGTGGGCTTTCGGTAGATCGTTGTTGTAAATGTTCTGGAGCCTGTTGAATTATTGTTTCGACTAATTAATATATCAAGAAATGGAATAGTGCCATTATTCTCTATTTCTACTGTGAATTGTACAGCAGGATCAAAACTGTTTAAAATTTTTAGTAGTTTATTTATATCAGCGTCTTTTTTTACTATTACGAAACTATCATCCACAAACCTTTTCCAATATAATACACCATTGGTAACTAATCTTCGTTTTAATTTTGTTTCAAGATAATTAATATAAACGTCTGCGAATAGGGGGCCTAAAGGGCTCCCCATCGCAATACCTTGTAGTTGACAATATATTTTATCGTTGAAGATGAAATGAGAATCTTTTGTTGCTATTTCTAATAGTGATTTCAATTCATATCTATTTTTACAGTTATCACACCAATCATCTTTTTTCTTGTTACTAAATGTACAAGTGTGTGGTTTGCCGTACATCTGCTCTAGGATTATTTCAATTGTTCTATCTAGAGGTACTTTTGTAAATAAAGATATAATATCGAAAGACACTAATTTGATTTCATCTTGATTAAATCTTAAACTATGGATTTCATCAACAAACTTAAATGTGTCATTAATAATATTTGGACTAATTCGTAGATGACCTAATTTTTTTGCTAAAAGTTTTGATAGTTTATAATTGAATGTATTACACGTCGAGATAATAGGACGCAATGGTAGATCTTTTTTATGGATTTTTGGTAAACCATAGGCTTTACCTGGTCCCGAACCAACAGGGCGAGCATAAATATACTCTGCATCAGTAATGAAGCCTGAATTTCTCAATTTTAATAATTTATGTTGTAACATATCTTCCTTTTTTAACGTTGGATCACTCTCTATTATTTTAAACGCACCTGTATCATTCAAAATTGATTCCATTTTCGTATTATAATCTATTTTATTAAGAATGACCACCGCTCGACCCTTATCTGCACGCGAAATGTGGATTGATTTATCTTTAGATAAATTCCGTAGTGTTCTTATCATTGGTTCAGTATCATCTCTGTAACGCGAAATCGTTTTATATGCATTCCATCTAAATGTATCACATAACTTTCTTAATTTATTTGATAGTTTTAATTGTTCAGGTGTTAGATTATAAACAATTAATTCGTCACTCTCCCGTTCCTCATAATCATTTTTATCTGAACATTTTCCAAGTAAGCTGACAAATAAAGTCTCAATGTTAGAAATGAACGATTCTTCATCAAAAGTTAGTGATGGCAAAATGAAATCAAGCCCATTTTCTAAAGCTACAGTTTCGTCATGTGTTAAAGTCCTTTTTGAATAATTCTTTATTGGAGATGTTGTAATTGTTTTACGTTTAATATTTGACGGTAGTTTCTGTAATGTTCTCAACATTTCCAATTTTTTACCATGTCTATTTCTAAATACAATTTCTTTTTCTTTTTCTAATTCCTTAATTATTGTTCGTATTCTGCTTTTGATAACTGGATCCATCTCAACTTGAATTGAACTTTCTAAATTTTTACACATTTTATATAATTGTGATAACTGACGCTTTTTAATTTTAATTTCATTTATCAATATTGCACGATAACAATTTTGTATTGCTCTCTGATGATGTTGATGTGTAGAGGGTATTTTGAATGTTACAAATTTTGGTAGGAGGTTTTCTCTCTTGCATACTTTTAAGAATATTAAATCGCATTTTAATTTACATAACTTTATTCGTAATTTTCCATACAGAAATACATTATTTGTAATATAAGACCCATATTGCTGCCTTATCTTTGATAAATAATTTTGTTTTGATATGGGTAAACATTTGAGAATGAATATGATAGAGTTAACAGCAGCTTTAAATCTTTTTATTGACATTTTGTTAATAGATATAACAATTTATTTTATTACTGTCGACGTTTCGA